AGCCCTGAAGGGGGCGGACAGAAAGGGGCTTCCTGCGCTAGCACAGGGGAATTGCAGTGGCAGAGTGGGAGAGAGCACGCGGTCAAGATGGTGCCTGAGACTGAGACTGAGACTGCGTTTGCGTCTGCGCCTGCGTCCCTCTGAGCCCCTCACTGTGCGGTAAAGTATGTGCAGTAGAGAGGTTCCGTCACTCACCTGATGAGCAATGCGCAACCCTGGTCCCCAAGCCTGAGCCTGACAGAAAGAAAAGAAGAACGAACAGACGCTAGACTAGCAGGGCTCCAGGGCCTCTCTCACAATCCAAGTTTGGAACCAGCGCCAGGTCCAGCAAGGACAAAGCTGAGAAAGCAAAAGTCACTTGACAAAGGCTGGAATGGGGAACCCCGAGAGGGCCGACAGTGATTTGACACTGGGCTTGGGTCGTGTGTGGATGCAATAGCCTCCACCCAGGCTGGGTAGGCGCTGAGTTTCGGATACCGCCTGGTGTGCAGGTGAACCCAGAATAGGACAAGTAGCGTGAACTCAGCCCCTTAGCAGATTGGTGTGCTGTCTAGCTCTTGGAACACGCCGGTCGTACTGTGTATGTCTCTGTCTTCAAAACTGTGCCGTCCTCAAACACCCCTACCCGAATAGACAGGGATGGTCTAGCAGCATGCCACCAAGATTACACTGTGGCACACGCTATCCCTCCAGTATACCAATCATAACAAAGTGGCAAAGACTTCCTGGCCATCGTCTGCACGGCATGATTTGCCAGAATCGGGTCCCGCCCACATCTCCTGGTTCGGCAGGCGCTTCATGTGGAGTAGAGTATGGGCACTGTGGATACTAGCGGGTGCACAGTGCTCGCAGTGTCCCCAACCAACAGACTCACATCGCCCGCCGTCCCCGGTGTAAGGTATCCTGCATCCTGCATCTGGCTGTCCACTTTCCATTTTCCATTTATTTTACTTATCAGAGCCATCCAGCCCGTCACCTTCCCACTCCCAGCCCGCCCCTCCCCTCGTACCTCGCCTCGCTTCGCTATCTCCCACAATTCAACTCTCTTCATCCGTCACCCAAAAATCTACATCAACCAACAAACTCACCCTACTCTCCTCTACAACTAAACCGCTACTACACTTCACCAGTAACTATTCTTCGACTTTTTGGATCTTGTCTATCACGGCTGAATCGACGACTTTCCTAAACACTTGCAATTTCTTGTTTGTGTTTACTCGCTCCAATTAATCCCGCACCAACTCCGACACGCACGCACAACCACGACTCACATCATGTCTGCATACTACCATTACAACGCCCACCAAGCGCACCCCGCCCCTGTGTCGCACAACCACCATGGTGGCCGAAATCGCAGAGCTCCCCGTCTTTCTGTGTCCCAACAAGCCCAACGCCAGTTCCGCGGTGTCCGTAGCATGAAGGAACTCAACGAGACTGCTTCCCTCACAGCTTTCCGAACCAAGTTCGAGACCAGTCGATCCTTCGACCTTGAAGATGACATGGAGTTCTGTCCTGGTCTGTTGACCGAGACTGACGTGAGTTATCCCGTCGCTGTGTATGTCGGCGCATCAATCTGACCTGTTGTTCGCAGTTGGTCTCCATCTCAAGCTCATCTGAGCGTTCCTCATTAGCCAGCAACTCTCCCGACTCTTCCCCTACGCAACACCCCAACACTGTTGCTCCTGGCTTCTCTCTCAACTCAACATCTCCCGCCTTCATCCCTCCTGCATACCAGCAACAGCCCAGCATGAAGCTTCACCAGCCCTCGGCCACCCGCGGCCGCAATGCCATTCCCATCATCAACCCCGCTACTGGCATTACCATGTCGAGCCCTCCTCAGTCAGTGTCGCCTGGCAGGATGCAACAGTCAATGCGTCGGTGGTAAACCGCATCAGGTCGCTACTCATGCACTCGCATGGGTCGACTGGTGTGTCGCATCACCGGCGGTGCACTTTGAACTGTAATCACAACCGTTCGTTTTTTGCAGCTGTTCATCTTGGCGGGCATATTGACCTATCGAGACTTGATCTTGGCATCATCTTATCAACTGGGCTGGTTTCCTCTAAGCTTTCGAGGTCAATCGCTTGACGCGATTGACCCCACTGTTGGCGACAACAATTTCGACAACCATCACTTTCACTATCCCCCCTGTATAAACATCCCCTTAATCGACATACCTCTTGTTTCACCAACAAGCTTATGAGGATAATACTGGCACGGCATGATAAAGATCGATACCATTTTCGGCTTGGTTACTTTGTTAATTTTTGCAACAAATCAAATACCTAGGGTTGGGTGTCCGCCTCGCAAGATGGGGCTACAAGACACGAACGGGCGTTTTCTGCATTTTAAGACGACATTGCATAGGTGTTTGGCGGCACAATAATCGGATTTTCTCGGCATCAACTGTTTTTTACATGGGAGGCATGGGTTGGCCTTTCCATTCATACCAAAATGTCTTCTCTCATCGCGGTCATGGGTTATGAAGTCAACAAGAGAAAAAGAACAACATAGAAGGGTGTGCTTTTCGCAAGCGGGGTCTTTACCGGTGTTATTTGATCGGTCGCATCTTGGAAATATCTTTGGGCGGTGGTCAGGATCGAGACGAACGGTGTTATTGCGACAATTGATATCCCTTTACGGGACGGAAATCTGGGAAATTACGGGGAGTTGGTCGAATTTTTGGTGTTGTCCCGCTGCTGCAATGAACGGGAACGAAAAGGTTCACCCTTGTCCATTCTTTTCTTTGTATCATCTTGGGACGGCCTATATATTTGTCCTCTTTTTGTTTTCTTGTTCATGGTTTAGGCTTGAGCGCCACTGCTGGTGCTGGCCTATCTAGTGTTTTTGGGACCGGAGTAGCTTTATACTTTGGAGCGTTGTTTGGTTTGCCCATGTCCTGGTTGGACGGGCTTCTTTTACAATATTTTGTCTCGCCTCGGCAAGCATCTGGAGTGTTCAGGGGGCCTGGGATACATGTCATGATCAGATTCAAAGAGATTTTTTGGGATTTGGGAGGCCCTCGAGCCTGGTTTTGCAATGCAGCGGTAGACTGCATGTGTGGCTATTGTTAACTGGGTATTGGCGCTGTCTGGTTGCGACAACGCGGCTTCAGCGCTGCGAGACGAGAATATACGAATGTTCAAATACTTGTATGCTCCAATTTGTGACTGACACGATATGGCCTAGAGTGAGCGATTTCAGAGTGCGACGATTGGTTGTGTGATGATGTCTGACGTGAAATGATGGTGTGGCTACGAAATGAGCGATTTGTTGAATTGTGGTGGCCACTAATAGGTGAACGCTGATTTGTTGAGTGCTATTGCTTCTACTAAATATCGATTTCTTGATATGCATTTCTAATTTATGTTCTTTCATACATGTCGCTTGCAATGCTTCTCAGATGTCAAATTCAGCTCATAGCTGTAGCCTCAATAACCCCACATCATATTAACTCCGCGGTGATAGCTTAGCTGCTCCGTGCAGCGTCTCATTATCAACCACAGCCACGCGATTGGGCCCTCCTTAAAACCATGGCATTCGCATTGGATCCTCGGTAACGGAAGAGAAATAAAAAAGACAGCTCTATTACCTAAATTGGTGTAGCATGGGCTTTAGTGGGGAATGAACGCATCCTGTCTTCATTTCAAGGAGTAAAGGAAGGAGAAGGAGAGATTCTTCAAAAAGTGATGATGCTCGTGACGTCACTTTCCCGCAAATGGTCAATACCTTACCCGAGAGGAACAGTATTAAGCTCGTGAACTGATCTTTTCCCCTGCAGCTGCTCCTTTCTTCTCTTTTCCTCTTTCATCTCTATATCGAATCCCTCGTATCTCTCGATTTATCAATATCAAAGCTTCACTCTTCCGTACGAATCATCACACCCGTGTCAACAAGATGATGTCAGCTCGATCCATGATGGCTCTGCGCTCTGCGCACACCAGCAAGATCATCCTCGGACGAGGTTTCTTCACCACATCAACACGTCTCGGTCTCAAGGAATCATCCACACGTACGTTTAACTCTCTCATAACCCAATTGAACGCGTCTAACATACCCCAGAAACCGACGTCGACTACGACAAGCATAAGCAAGACTCCCTCAGGAAGCAGAAGGAGGGCAGCGGCCACTGGAAGCCCGAGCTCGCCTCGGACAGTGAGGAGGCCGTCAAGGCAGACCGATCGGACATTGATCCTGCCAAGGATATCAAGAACCTCCAGGAGCGAACCAAGAAGGCTGCCGAGGAGACTCACAAGGCTGGTACCAGCACACGGGATAACATGTAAAGAACTGTCATGAATTGGCGATTTGATCAATTGGTTTGGGAGTTATGGTATTGCAAGATAGACTGGAATGTCTCTGCAAAATAGTTATTAATGAGAACTATCCATGATGATGTCTTTGAGTTCAATGTTTTGTTGATGTGTATTTGCCCCGACGGGGTGTTTTACTCATATATGTATGACCCTATCAGCCTCTTCTAACGAGTTACTGATATAGCTATCTTGTTCTACTTATGTATGTGAAGGTGTTTTCCTAACTCGGTTATCATGTGTTCCTGTCGGCGACCGAAGCTCCATATCTGGTGGTGACGTTGTATAACTCGAGTTGGGAACAAAACTGTCGTGTTCACCTCCACGATAAGAATAGCATCCGAATTCATCCATATATCCCTCAACTGCCCCAACCTGCAACCAATTGGCCCATTCTTCTTCTTTTATTTTCTCTCAAATCGAAGCTACGACTCCTGCCAAGTGTTTACATACCCTCAAGTGCTGCATTACAGGGTAAGCTCCCTGCCCCTCTAAGCTCCTCTTATCGATAAGCCCCAAAGTTCAAGCTCCTCCATTTTATTATTTCGCCGGTCTCGGTCGGTCCAAACCTCCGAGGCTTCTAATATCTCTCTTCTCCTCCTCGGGCCTCGTCTAGCCCATTGACTCTCCCTAGGACGTTCTCTCTACCAATATCTACTTCAAAACCTCCCCTCGACCTTCATAATCATGTCCGCAAACCCTCCGACCTTCCAATCCGCCCTCCTCGCAGGAGCCCTCGCCGGTACAACCGTCGACCTCTCACTCTTCCCTCTCGACACACTCAAGACCCGTCTCCAGTCCTCGGCCGGCTTCTTTCCCTCCGGCGGTTTCAGCGGTATTTATCGCGGTATCGGCTCTGCGCTCGTCGGTTCTGCGCCAGGCGCTGCGTTCTTCTTCTGCACGTATGAAGGCGTAAAGGGCTTCTTGGCTGATAAGGACAATACTTCTGCGCCAGGATGGAAAGCTCCCCTTGTGCATATGGCAGCTGCTAGCGCTGGTGAAGTGGCTGCTTGCGCTGTTCGTGTGCCGACCGAGGTTGTTAAGCAGCGTGCTCAGGCGGGTCACCATGGTGGTTCTTCGGCTGCTGCTCTACGGGCCATCCTGTCGCGATATTCGAGCCATGGATTTGTTCCTATGTGGAGGGAGCTCTACCGTGGTTGGGGAATAACCGTCTTCCGCGAAGTGCCATTTACTGTGATCCAATTCCCGCTATGGGAGGCTATGAAGTCTTGGGGACGTGGCCGTCGGGGTGGTCGCGAAGTCACTGGTGCTGAGAGCGCTCTGTATGGAAGTATGGCTGGTGGATTATCTGCGGCGCTGACGACGCCGCTTGATGTGCTAAAGACCAGAGTCATGCTATCGAAGGAGAGCGTCTCAGTATCAGACATGTTCGGTCGGATATTGCGCGAGGAGGGCAGCCGAGCCTTCTTTGCGGGTGTAGCACCACGAGTTACATGGATTTCTATTGGAGGCGCAATTTTCCTGGGAAGTTATCAATGGGCTATTAACACCATGAACGGCGTTGCATGATAATGGGAAACGATTAAAAATCAACAAAATGGGCGGAATTTTACGATGTAAAAAATGGAGCAAGGAGTCAAGAGACGGGCGTTCCGAAAGAAATAGAGAGGCTTAACTTCTCGTTAATGGTATATACGCCTTGATGGCATCTGACCTATGTACAAATCTATATACGATAAAGAGGCTCGCCGGTGACAGAAGTCCATCTTCTGGCACATGATAGAAAATAAGGGGATCGACGGATCTGGGCTCTTTCATCTTCCCATTCAACATGTAAACCGGGAGTTGTCTCAACTCAGCTGGCTTGGGCTTGGGCTTGAGGCTGAGCAGGAACCTGACCATTAGTATTTGCCTCTTCAGCTACGGCCCCTTCTTGAGTTTCTTCGGGCTCCGCAGGCTTAGGCTCTGGAGGCGGAGGGAATGGTCGAATCTCCTTTTTGCCATTGGCCTTGTAATGAAGGACAATATCATTACCTCCCTTCCACAGATGAGTTCGAAGGGTGGCCAGTGTCGTAGCAGGGGAAAGTAACTGGACAAGTGTTAGCACATGTAAATGCCCGTGATCGTGTCATGAATTAAAGAAGAGATCATTTACCTGTTCGTTGCAGTACAGTTCTAAGTACTCCTCTGGCTTCATAGGGTTCACCTCAGGCTCCTCAAGTGGAGGCTCAATCCTTTCTGCAACATACGAGAGAATCTTTTTAACTCGAAGCATGCGGTTAGCATTGAGCCTGTTGTTTCCATCGGCTGAAGCAATAGCTGGCAGACTGTCATCCATCGGATACAAGACAAACGAGACCTTTACAGGTTCTTTGAAGGGCAGTGTGTTTTGAAGAAGAACATCACCCAGCCACATGGGAGCCTTCTGTTCGATAAGGTCTGCATCCTTGCCAACATCCTGGACAGTGCCCTGGTACAAGTTGGCGCTGCCACCTGTAGTCTCTTCTTGGATAACCACCTTAGTTCCTGGCGGGAGCTTCAGGACGGGTGTATCGCTAGGCAAACTGGGTACCACTCGTGACTCGACCGGCTTGTCAGGGTTGTCGGCTAGTTGCCGCTCGTATTCCTGATGGATCTTCTGAATCGTACCAAAGAAACTGTCATCAACCTCCTTTTCCTTTTCATGGACAGATGAAGACTCAGACTCTTCTGTCTTTTCCTCCACAATCGCAGGCTTCTCTGTGGTGGCCTGAGAAGCTGATCGCGAAAGCTTCTTGGTACCAAAAGTCATCCTGAACTTCTTCTTGCCAAATGGTGTGCTTGGGGATTTTGCGCTGTCTGCCTTGTCCTTATCTTTATCCTTCTCTTTATCACCATCTATGGACTTCTTCGAGTCCGCCTCATTCTGCGTGGGGGTTGACACCATGCTCGCTGCCTTGACTGCTGATTCAAGCAGTTGTAGGGGGCTTGTAAAGTAGTCTTCCTTCTCCGTCGAAGGACGGCTGACGTGCGAGGTTCTCTTTTCTATAGGAGTCATTGGACTTGTGGCCGCGTTTTCAGGAACATCGGGCAAGCTGTTTTGGCCTGACATGATACTTGGACCAGGTGTTGCCAAACCAATCCCTAAACCTGGAGTATTGGGATAGAGATTTGGCTTTGGAGTAACCTGGTCTGCGTTATCCCAGTCCGGGATGACTGACTTTGGTAATGATATCGATAATGGAGCAGTGTCAACAGGTCCTCCACTGGCAACCTGCCTTGCCTCAAGACCCTCATTGAGCTTCTGACGGTGTGCCTCATCTCTTCTGATCTCCTCATCAATGAGATCGGCAAAGAGATACCGAAGGATCCATTTTCCAAGGCTGACTGGTAGAGTGTTAGCGGTATCTTGGCAGTCATCAAAAGCGCACTTACTTCTCTGATCCTCTCGAAATTCTATGTTATCTGGCAAATCTAGCTCGTCTGCATATACTTCGGCATCGAAACAATTGAAAGGCTCCAGAACCACGGTCAGATTTCCTGAGCTGAGATCGATAGAGCACCAAGGAGCCACGGCTTCAACAGTGTTGACGAGATGCTCCACATCCTCCAGATGCTGTTTGCCAAAACTTTTGATTGGTTTGCACTGAAAAAGTCAGCTGTATTCATGCTCATGATATTTCAGACAAACCTGGATCAAATCCCATAGCAATACGTCGCCAGCGGTGTCTGACGTCAACACACGTCTCCTATCGTTGAGTAGCCTATGCTTGAGCAATCCGAATTGTCCCTCGATCGTTTCCTCGGCAACTGCATGGATGGGTTTGATTTCAGGCTCTGAAGAGTCTATGATGGCTTCGGATCCTTTCCGTGCAGTAGCATCCGTGATGGTGGCAGAGTCGGGATCTGGACCAGATCGCGCAGGGAAAGAAGCAGCTGCAGAGATACGCAAGATAGATTCAGCTGGTATCTCCTTCTTTGTAGTTCCGTTAGTAGTAGCCGGAGGAGAAGTCTCGCGGGGTCTGCTTGAAGCGTTCGATGTAGCTCTGTGGTGTCGAACAGACTCCGGAAGCTGTATGTTGGTGCCCGTGTCAACGTCTTCCCATCGATTGATTGATGACCTATTCGTTGCTGTCCAGATATGACCTCCAGCTGCGACAACCTTGCCCACTCCTATGTGTTCATGCGCTACAGCAAGACTCAGGCCATCGTCCATATCCTCAAGGCTACCGCGCACATCTGTTTTGGCGACCAAGCCCGAGCGATCAGAGCTGTAGAATACACCTAGGCTTGGGTCGTCTGAGAACAGCGACCAAACACTCTCGTCATGCATGGAGAAAGTATACATGCATCGACCGTTCTTGATACTCCACATCTTGACCGTTTTGTCGGCACTGGCACTCAAAATCGTGTCGCCAGCATCGTCTATGAGAATAGCGCGGATATTGTCGACATGACCAACAAGTTTTGAAACCTTGTCACCAGTTCGGGGATCGTATAAGCGTACCGTCTTCTCGGGACCGCCACTGGCCATGATATTTCTCCCCACGCGAAGGGCATATACAGAACCTTTCTCAGCAATTTCTTCTCCCTGTACATCGATCTCGAGTGTTTTCCCAGCGCCATTAAGATCCCATAAGCATATTTTGCGGTCAAGGCCACCAGATGCGACCCAATTTGCGCCCATATCTGGGGGCGGAGTTGTAACACATTTGACATAATCAGCATGTTCGCCTATTGTCGCGGTGCGGTTTTTGTCCTCTTCGGAATACGGTCGCCAAACCTTTACTGTAAGGTCGGATGAGCCAGATACCAGGGCAGTATTGTTCTGAGCGAGGGCAATGTCGTTGATCCAGTGCATATGGGCATGGGTTTGAGCGCGAAACTTGGTCGTGTGCTTCGGCTTCTTGTCTTCGGAATTGGCAGGCGTCGGGTCGGTAACATCGCTGCGGCTTTTGAGGTCGAGGTTCAGATCCCAAGCGCATACTATGCCATCTCGGCCACCTGAATATCTGAATGAGGTGATGTTAGAGCTGTACGGATCGGACCGAGGGTGTCGGTGTGAAGGGGCTCACAGAATCGCATTGTCGTTGTCGATGGCAAGGCCATTGACACCTAGACGATGGCCGCCTTCAGATGATTTGGCATTTTCGAGGACTGTACATGTGTTAGCAACTAATTCGAAGCTGAACGTATGCAAGAGAGAATTGTTCGACAGGCGGGGTTGTTGGGGCGGTTAGAGCGGTTGGGGATGAAGCCTCACCATAGCTGATTCTCTGGCGTGCCTTCTTAGCCATGACTTGAATAGCTAAGTAGCTTGCTTACTGAAGCATGCGCAAGTAACGGGAAGACAGGTACCACAAGCGACGGGAAGGCGCAGAAAGAGGCGACCACGGAAAGAGGTGGAAAGAGGTAGTATTAGTCTGTGGTCTGAATTGAGTGCTAAGTTCGGTCTGTCTTAATGCTGTGCGTAGTGGTTGTGGAAGATGGTAGGTCGTGATGATTGTGGAATGCGGGATGGGGAAGCTTGAAAGTGGAGGTGCCCCGACCTCATGGCAAGTATGTACGTACCTTAGCTGGCGGCGGACATGACGCCGAGTAAGGACAATACGACGGGGTGAGTGAACCAATCTTTAATAGTGGATCAAATGGAACTTTCCTTGTTTAATCGACGAATATCCTAGGGGTTTGGGGGTTTGTTGGGCCGATGAACCGGTAGAGCAAAGGATTCACGGCCTTCCACTGAGTCTACCTGTAGGTAGAGCCCTCGTGAGCTCTAGACTCTCGACTTGGAAGCTGGAGAACTGATAGACCCTGTAAACTGTGCCCCTGTACCCCTGTCGCTCACTCAAATACCCGGACTCTCAAGCCGTCAACGGCGGGGCTTGACTGCACATCCGCCCACCTCAACTGAAGCCCAGGGCAATTCTTAATTGACACCCATCCAATCCAGTTCAGTTTCATCTCTTAAGTCCACTTGTCAGTTGTGACAGTCGTTCTTTGATATCTGCACTCAAGAATAAGTGGACGATAGTCTCGTAAGATCTGTTGCTTTCATTATCTGTGACAACATTCAAATGTTTGTTTAATAAATGTCAATTGAGTCTAATGTCTCAGATCCTGTGCAGTCTGTCGTCCACTCACATCCTCCCGATGACACGACTGCATGAATAACCTCATAAAACATGCTAGATTATCATCATAATGCAAGATATAGAATTACTCGGGTCGTAAAGAGTAAATCCAAAAGTCCCATAAACTCCAAATAACTCGTTTTCCAAGAAGATAGCCTCTCCGTACTCCAGGCTCCAAATTCAAACCCGTATTGTTCCGAATTATCCAACGATTTTCTCCTCGATCCTCCCTCCCTTGCTTCACTGGCAAACGCAGCAGCCAACGGAGCACCATCGAGAAGACTTGAATCGACCGGGTCTGTTTTCACACTGCGCGCATTCATCGTCGACTTTGGTGATATCCTCTTTTCTTCCTGGACAATCCTCTCTGTAACATCTTGTGTTGCCGCGCAGGACACGATGTCCGCACTTGTGCTCGATCAACGTCTTGGTACACATTTTATGCTTTTCGGTTGAGATTTTATCTCTTTCTTGGGATGATGTTGAGTTTCGTAGTGAATTGTTTAGTTCTGTAATGTTGGGAGTTGGATGAGATGGTATGTCGGACTCGAGATCATGCCAGGCGTCTGCCTTTTGTTGGTCTTTGAATCCAGTGAAAGAGGGATAAATTGTGAGTCAATCGCAAAGGACAACTGTTGTTTAAATGCGCCAGATTGTTGCGAGGGTGTTACGCCGTCAGGTCAGCTTCCATTCAGCTTCGGCCCAGCTCAGTTAGTTCAACTTATAGTCAGTCAACTTTAAAGTCGTGTGAGATTTTGACAAGCAGACAAAAACTTGGGACACACGAATAGTTATGTGTTATCTAAAGAAAAATAGAAGCAACTGAGCCTCAACAGCTAAAAAAGAACATGACGCGGACTCTGTCCCCAAAGGGAGAAGGGAATGAAGCTCGTGACGCGGCTTTGACCAATGGCCGCGTGGGTGTGGTAGATGTTGCACTTGGAGCATGCCGAGACCCCCGGTTCCGATTCAATACGAGGTCTATTTAGACTGAGACTGAGACTAGACGGGTAAAGCAAACAACGTTAAATCGTATGAGGCATTTCACTTCCGGCCTGGTGTTGGTGGGCAATGCCACTTTTGATGGCTTGATTAAGCACCTTGACAACTCAAAGATCTCGCTGCAACGTACCTGAATGACATTGTCGATCGATCCTCGGTCCGCGGGTTCCTGAATATCCGTCAACCTATTAAACACAGCCAGTTTCATCCGTGAATCATCTTGCACTCGGAACATATTTGATGAGTGCATTGTCAGAAATGGCAGAACAATTGGAGAGGCCTAAGCACTGAAAAGCACTAGAATTCTATTCAACTTCATTCTTCAAAATCAATTCGGACCCCATTTGATGATCCCTGTAAAAATGAAATAAAAAATGAAAGCTCTGGAATCCATAGCTGATAACCATGGCTCAATTGAGAGATCACGCTACTCAATTTCTCACCACCTTACGGGCGCCTTCTATAAGACATGGCTTACATGTAAGCAAATTTATCATGACCAAGAATTACACCATCTCTCTATAAGGTATGTCTCAAGATTCACCTAGCAAAGGATTGGAAACAAAAAGGTCTGTCTATGATCCTGCCGTAGCTTGGTACCATCATTACATTTTGCAAAACCTAACGCCGTGCTGAAGGCCTCCCATATACACCGACAGTCAGTTTGACTGACCACTACTTCTTTCTTCTCTCGCTTCCCGCACCATTCTACCTGGTGAACTTGTTTCCTTGACCCTGTCGTGGCTGACTACCATATGCTCTGCGTCCCTGATGCTTCTTGTCCCTGCTCATGCTAGCACCGAGGGTGATGTCAACACGAGGTGGTACTGTGAAGCCAAAGCTTTTGGCGACCTTGGCCAGATCCAGCTTGTTGATATCAAAAACACTGCGCAGCGAGTGAGAGGCGTAGGCGTGGAGGTAGCTGCGGTAGCCATCCTTGGCACTCTTGTTCAAGTAGTAGTTTGAACTGATGAGCTTCTCGAGTTGAGACTGAATGTTGATAATTTTGGGGAAGTCATATTCTACGACGGGGACACGGGCGGCCTTGAGGTGCGACAAGAAGCCAACCTCGTTGGGCTGAAGGATCAGAAGAGATCGGCCCTTGGTGTTGCTGCCTCGGGCAGTTCGACCGACACGGTGAATGTAGTCGCGGGGGTCATCCGGGGGGTCGAACTGGACAATCCAGTCAACGGAAGGAATCTGATACAGGTTAGCAATTTGTCAATGCAGTGATTCAGATGAGACACATACATCAAGGCCACGGGCGGCAACATCAGTGCAGATCAGAGTACCCTGCTTGGCATTACAGAACTCGAAGAAGGTGTTTGTTCGCTTCTGCTGCTTCTGTTTGCCGTGGAGGTCAAGAACAGGAATATCGATATAGTTGAGGAGTTCGGCGTGATATTTCACACAAGCACAACTACTGAAGAAGACAATGATCTTCTTCTTGAGATTGCGCTTGAGGAATGAGAAGAGAAGATTGAATCGCTTTTCGGCATCGCAGATAACGTAACCCTGTTCCAGGCCCTCCACAGTGCTGTACTGCTTCTCTTCATCGACGTTGATGTATAGAGGGCCAGGACGCAACGAGATACGGGCAAGATCCTCAACCTTGGTTGTTTGAGTAGCAGAGAAAAGCATTGTCTGTCGGTCCTCCTTAGGGAGAATCTTGATAATCTGTCGCATTTCATCCTCGAAACCAATCTCAAGAATTCGATCCGCCTCATCAATAACAAGGGACTTCAGGTTCTTGAAAACGAAAGGAGTGTTTTGCAGATGGTCGAGCAGACGTCCAGGGGTGGCAATAAGTAGGTTAACACCCTTGGCGAGCTTGTCGGCCTCAGCGCGACGGTTTGCGCCTCCGATAACAATACCGTAAGTTTGTGAGTGGTGGGCCATGAGTTCTCGGGCAACACCAAAGATCTGGAGGGCCAACTCGCGAGTTGGGGAAACAACAATGACACCAGTACCATTACGAGGCTTGAAACGCAGAGAGCTCAACATCTCAATGACAGGAATAAGGAAGGCCAGAGTCTTTCCAGAACCAGTCTTGGCAGCACCAAGAACATCGCGACCAGCCAACGAGGGAGGAATACCTCTCCTCTGAATCTCAGTCATCTTGGTGAACTTCATCTCATTGATGGCCTTCATGGTCTTCTCGGAAAGATTCAGCTCCGCAAAAGATTGCGACTCAGCTCCAGCAACTGGGGGTAATGTGAGCTTTCCGCCATCAGGCAGATCTGTGTTGTCCTCGGCCTTATCTTCGGTATCCTCCTCTTCCTGTTCTTCGCCAGACTTGGAATCTTCGGCATCCTCATCAGCCTCATCGCTCTCGTCCTCGTCCTCCTTCAGAGCCTCCTCTTCCTCGTTGGAAGAATCGTCTTCGGGCTCTTCGCGGGGCTCGGGTTCGGTGCGCTTGACTTTCTTTGATTTCTTTTCGGGAACGGTAACAGACTTTTTCCCTTTTGAAGCCTTGACGCCATTGGCGTCCTTGAACTTGCGTTTCTTGCTGCCGGCGAAATCCATCTTGTTTGCGCGTAAGGTTGATATTCTGTACAACCGATCGTCTTGCAGCAACTGAATCGAGAACTTTTTTTCAGCGATAAGAAAAGTCTTGGGGCGATAAGCGGTCACTTGTTTTTCCGCTCACTCCACCGGGCAAGCTGTTTAATGTGCAGTAACCCCCGCTGTGGATTCAGCGGCAAATGTTGTTGCAAGCTTGCCTTTCTAGGACTAGTTCCAGGTCTGATGACTTCGGTTTGTACAATTGGGTCACAATGGAAACTGAATTGATCGAGGTACAGATGCAGAGAGGAAGATCATGTATAAGTTTGCAAGTTGTGCCTCGAGCCCTAATAAGGAAAGCTTATATGCCTGTTGCCTGGTGAATACATTTCAAGTCATAGTGTAAAAGAGTTTCGCTCCATCGAGGGCTGGGCTGCGCACCGAATTGAGGATACAGAAAGGAAATGCAGACTGGGTAACAGAAAATTACTGCACGCCAAGAGCAGACGACACAAATACAGAATAAAGCCTAGTGCGAAAAATACCCATGAAATGTAGGCTCAATATTCGCTCAGTCTTGTCTGTACTTTAAAGTAGCAGTGGAGGGATGTCACTTAAGTTCCCAACGAGGTTTAGCCCCAAGTCACGCTACACTGCAGGTACTAGAGTCTAGGTACTGTAGGTAGTGGAGGTCCGAACCTTCGCGCTTCGGTCATCCACTCTTGTATGAACCTGATTCTTCCAAATCAGATTCCTTTCTCCCTCTTCATCTCATCTGCGCTTTCGAGACATCGCCCCTATCGCTGCCCGCGACATTATTAATCACACTCACTGCGATCGCATCAGCCTTGATTCGCGACCCGAGACATATATTGGCGATCTGTCAACATCCCTGAAGCCTTTACATTCAGTCATCGCAAGAAGACTCGATCTCATCCTTACCTCAGATTGTGACCGGCGGATCCGTCAACTCGTTGCGATACCGACCTTCGAAACCCGTCGCATTTGTTCGTCGCGATTAGGAAACCTCACTTACAAGACAATTCAATTCCAAGTTTCTCATCATTTCATCGAGCTATTCACTATTCTCTGGTTTATCCCCACGACGAAAAACTAGCTCCTTGCTCGTGCTGGCTCCTGTTCAGCTCCACTAGCAGCGCAGCACAATGGCGAATCCTCAACCTGATATCCAGAGTATTCTGGCCGCACTCGGTATGTCAGAACAACTCATATTGCATAATCTGCGCTTACTGACTTGTTCACACAGCGTCGCAGCGGCCGACAGGGACCCCGACCCAGACACCACCCGGCGCTCCCAACCAGGCATACCCTCCCCCGCCTGCGTCCGCGCAGCCTGCGGCCACATACCAGCCGCCCCCTCCGAACTCCAGCAGCTATGGTGCACCTGGCTACAATGGCCTCCCTGCGCCATCATCCAGCGGAAACCTTGACCTGAGCTCGATTCGACCCGTGAACTCGGGAACATTGAGTATTGCTGATGCGATTGCTCAAGCCAAGGCTTATGCCGCCGAAAAGGGTGTGACATCCTACGACCGCCCCCTTGTCTATGCCTCCGAGTCACGAGGACCCGATCGAGGATACAACCGCTCAAGATCACGATCACCCGCCCGTGACGAGTTCCGTGATGGCGTGAATCCATACAGAGATGAGCGACGTGGTGGTGACCGAGGCTCGCATGGTCGCGGCTATGGTCGAGATCGTTCTTACTCGCCAGGCCCCCGTGGTCGCAATTTCTCTCCTCGAGGAAGCAATGGACGCGAGAGGTCTCCTTTGAGAGGAGGGGATGACAACTCGGAGACCATTGAGATCGATTCAAGTCTTGTAGGCCTCATTATCGGCAGACAAGGAGAGAATCTTCGACGCATAGAATCTGAATCCAACTGCCGAGTCCAGTTTCTGGCCGCCACTGATGGTGGTCCGCACAGGCTGTGCAAGATCTCTGGGCCGCGGCACCGTCGTGCTGAAGTGAAGGATGCCATTAACCGTATTATCGACGATAGCGGAATGGGCGCTCTCAACCGCCCCGAAAAGCCTCGCGACCCCAACAAGGGCGGTGCTGCGGCTCTACGCGAAGGGGAGGACCACATGCAAATCATGGTCCCTGATAGGACTGTTGGCCTGATCATTGGGCGTGGCGGTGAAACTATCCGTGACCTCCAAGAGCGATCCGGTTGCCATATTAACATCGTTGGCGAATCTAAGAGTGTGAACGGATTGCGACCTGTCAACCTCATCGGCACGCGCGAAGCTGCCGCTCGCGCCAAGGATTTCATCATGGAGATTGTTGACAGTGATAGTCGAGGCGACGCGCCGCCGCCTGTTAAGAGGTTGGGAGGTGGAGGATCAGCTCCTGGAGGCCGCCATGATGCTCCCCAGAGGGATGCGGGAGGCTCTGGTGGCCCCGACAAGATCAATGATGCTGTATATGTGCCTTCAGATGCGGTAGGTATGATCATAGGAAAGGGTGGCGAGACGATTCGGGAGATGCAGAACACCACCGGATGCAAGATCAACGTGGCTCAATCTTCTGGTCCCGGTGAGACTCAAAGGGAGATTGCCTTGATAGGTTCGCGAGATAGTATTGCGCGAGCCAAGCTTGCCATTGACGAGAAGGTGGATGCAGTGGTAAGTCTCATCCCAACACGAACACTTCTATTTACGCAGCTAACATGTGAATAGCGCCAGAAAGGCAGTGGTCCACGTGGTGGTGGTGGTAGTGGCAGCGGCCGTGGACATCAAGACCATGACAGGCCCAGCTACTCTCAACCGCAAGGTTCCAGTGCTCCTACTAACCAGCCCCCTCAACCGGCTTCAGCTGATGGATCTGATCCATACGCTCAATGTAAGTCTTGATATGTTGTGCCCTTGTGCCCTTGCTGAATGCTAATCAACATAGATGGTGGTTACCAGAATTACCTCGCGCTGTGGTATCAATCCTTGATGTACCAACAACAGCAAGGCGGACAAGGTGCCCCCCCTTCCGGTGCTCCTGCGCCTGGAGCATAAGTGATGTCCTGTCTGCTCGCTCGTGCTTGGGTGACCTTGATTGAGCTCTCATCCGCAAAAGCCGCGGATCGAGGGTACTATCTGGTGGTTTGATTGATATCATGCCAATGTTTTGACGCTCTTGACGCCTCTCTGCACTCATAGCCCGTTGACACGACCTACGACTGTACATCGCCCGTTTTCCTTTCCCGTCTTTTGATGACTCCTTGGACTCAACTTCTCTGATGAAATATCACTTGACTCGGCTGTCTTTACAACATTAATATTGAGGTGCAAGATCGGGTGCGACGTCCATGGTTATCCTGCCATGACCTCATTCGAATTCATTTAGGCGATCCTGGACTCGATGCTGAATGCTTCCACGAACACTTGAAGTTGCCGCCGTCTCTGCTGGCTCTCCCACGATCATGTTGCTACTGGCTTGCGGACTGACAACTCACGACTAATGCGTTGATGACATGTGCGATTTCTGGTGCCAGCTCATCCCTTGGTATGACGTACATCCTGAAACTTGCGATTTGTCGTGGTACGGCTGAGTTAAGTTGAGATGTGAACCGACCAACTCAATCGCACGAAACTCGGATCTCAATCCGAACTGGGCCAGTAGTGTCTTGGTGCACGTGGTGTCGCTTGTCTCTTGCCCCTTTTCCAATCAGGCTCGTACGGTATTGGATGAATCGACTGTCTCGTGCAAGTGGTCTCCTTGCTTCTGCATGTATGTTGCGTGTTGAGTTGCCTAGCAATTCGCCATGTGCACCAGCTCGCTACTCTTTTCATCCACGTTTTCATTTGAGTCTAGCTTCAACACCAGACAGTCTCATCGCTTGCATGTCATGAGGAAAGGGAATGTATACTTTGGTGACGGTGGGTTGGATTGGAGAAATGGAGTTTCGGATTGAATTGCCATGTATTACCATCGTAACACTTACTTAGCCTTACACAACCGTGGATTTTCACGTTTATCAAATCATGTCTTTTCCCGTAGTGAGTTTTGAAGGTCACTAGAGTCTCCTAGAAGTACCACTACGAGAGTCTGGCAGTTCCTCAAGACCAGTATTCTTTGTATTAAGGGCTTGAGTATGCTAAACTTGAGCACACTGCCGTGGTACTCCCAACCGATGTATGAACTATCCAGTGCTTTCATGATCTAGACAGATGCCTAAGACTTTTCTTTGTGTTGATGGTGGTGTAGCAGATATGTGCCGTACCCATGAAGACAACAGAAGTGGTGATAGAACCCAGTGAACCGAAGTGACTGCCTTCAACCCTAATCTTTGGAGTCCTTATAACTACTAACCAAGAGATATAAAGCTTTAATGGGAGACGTTGATTCTGTGTAATAAGATATTGAGACCAGCTTTGGACGGATACAATGAACAAACCCTACACTTTTACTAATGTAACTAGTTATCTTTTGCATCTTGACAGCTTTAGAGATCTTGAAATCCTCTGGACTCGATGAAGGTAGCTCAGGCAAGTGCATCTTAGAATCTTGAGTGAGATGGAAGGAGCTATAGATGGATTCGTCAAATATTGATCGTCCCCAGGCACGGAGGGCAGGGTACCTTACTTCCACTTACAAGAATCATCTCGACAACAATAACACTCGCTTTATCAATTATTACAACCCTCTTCACTATCAAACTCTTATTCTTCATTTCATCATGGAATGGGGCCGAGTTCCGTGGTGGTTACTAAGGCGGCGCCCTCAAGTCAAGCGCCAGTGCTTCTGCGAGTATCGATGCATCGTCTGCCGCAGCGTGATCAGTTATCACCCCAGCGAGAAGACAGGAACCAAATTTGTCTTTTCTAATAGGTGCTACAAATGCAAATAGGAAATATCATACTGTCTCGCAACGTATGAGGAGACATCTTCGCAACATTTTATCCAAAGAAGGCTCCCACTGGTGCAAGAGGCAGAGCGGATGGCAGACAGATTATCTGATGCCTTGAATCAACTGTGAGTTAACTACCCCTGTCACAACTGCCGCGTAGTGGTGGAAAGAGACGCTGTTGGAAACTTCAGTAGCGTAAGACTTCGTTCAAGGCTTACTTAATGCGATGTTGGCGTACAGCAGACCATCGACACCTGTTATCAACCCCAATGATGAACAAGATGAAGCAGATCCAGACCCCTGGACTCGAGATCCTAACAACCTACGGGATCGTTACCTCGATGCGATTGCCCGAGATGCCCATCAAGCCGATAATGCGCCTGCACCACACCAGAGCCCCAACGAGCCAGAAGAGGGGCTCAACATTATGAGAGACCTATAAGTCGCGCAAAGAACACATAAGTGATGCAAGGGGACGCTTGGGATGTCATGAAGAAGCTATATTTAATGACCCCTCGAAGAACCCAGAAACCACAACTGAGGGCTGTATTCACTCTGTAACAGCATTTGATGACAGAATATTCTCGATAGCCATGCTCGAAGACTCAGATGAAGGAAGGCAAGGTGCCTTTTACATGGAGGTGAATCATTCATACCGAGGAAAGCTTGTCAGCCAGTCAAACTCCAAATCAGCGGGTGTTAAAGAAACCGAAGAGGCGGCTCGGAGCAGGGGGTTGAGGTTAGTGTCGACTTCGACAGTTGTTACAAAAATGAAATAAAATAAAGCGTGCTATCACTTTTACCCCAAGCTTTCTTCTTCTCAGATATGATTTGTGATCAGCATGCACATTGACGTTTTCTACTTCGAATCTAATATGAACAACTAGAGAACCCAAAAAACTCTGTTGTGTTGTAGCTGCATCAGAGTAACGGAGCAGTCTTTGGAGTCTTTGGGGGAGAAAAAGCCTTTGGAGATACTTACCAAAGTGAACCGCATCTTTCAAGTGTCTCCCCCGATGTTCAGGGTTTAGAGTTGGAGTAGCATCAAGCAATAGACCTTACTTAAATCACGAGAGATGTCTTTGTAACAGCGCAATGCATTGCCTGGTAAGGAATCGCTCCTCACTTCAGCATTAGAGTTGTCTACCGGAGGAAGTCCGCCGGCGCATAAGCGTATGAGGTACTCAGATTCATCATGATCAACCGCTAAACCTCAGTCGTCAGTTTCAAACTCGGTACATGCGAGCTCAGAAACGGTGAAACCCAATATCAGAGAGTGTCTGGATGAAACTGACGGAATTTTAGTCTAGAAGCATAAAACTGGTAAGTTACGCCCGTAGAACATTTGTTTCGTACTTGAGATGACGCCCCGGGACGGATAGTGGGAGAGCTAGTAGGTTTTATGATAGTCTGATGGAGGTCCTGAGAATTCCAGTCATGGTGGCTAGTGAAGGAGAGAACGAAGGATTCGGCATATGTGCAGCCCAACACGGGAGACACCATCATGAGATATCACGATCATGCGGGAGGATTACACAAGTTTGTCCAGAGATCAACATCTTGGGCTGAACTGAGTCAGGAATTAAGTGAATTCTTGGATACGCATTCAGATGAATTATTTAGTTCAAAATGGGATCGGATTTAAGACTTCCTGGGTTTGCTCTAGCTCACCCTCTCATGCCAGGCACCACATGCCACAGACTCTGGGGAAGAAAGCCCGAGCCGGGAAAGGTTATCGCCAGCAAACGTCTTCCCGTCAATGGTGAAGATACTCAATAGGACAGGACCCGAGGAGATGGGACTTTTTGACCACTGCCATGAGATCCCTGCTAGCAGGATCGTCATGCGTGATGATGATCGCTGTGGTGTTTGAAGATCAAGGCGTTAGTCTTCCAGGAACACGGCGTTTTGTGAATGGCCTCATTTGCCTCTGCATGATGCCTCGGTAAGCTGAAAAGAATCGGTACGTTTCTATAATTCCAACTACTGACCTGAAGCTATCCCCAGGTTCAACAGTAGAGACATGTTAACGGGTACTGCCGAACATAGAGCTTCCAGAACAAAGTCGAGAACCCACAAACTCCCCCCACGAAATGGGTCAAGTGCATGATCACAGAGTCTAGAACTCATAAGCGAAGGACTGGGGAATTGTCAGGCGGTGGCAGTGAAAGAGAAGCCAACTATTACAGTACTAGTTAGTGGCGAAACCATACATGCCTAGCGTTGGAGGAAAGCTTATTGCCCCAAAGCCAAGGGGAGAAAACGAAGCATCAGAATGAAACTGGAAGTGATGTGTTGACGTGAGGCAGCTGAAGATAACTATCGCTTGGACCTTTTGGTGATAACTATACCTTACCGTACCTATCATAGGCGAGATGAGGCCTGAAAGCGCCAAGTTTAAGACACGTCCGTTTGTGGCTGTTTTATGTCGTATCTTTGTGTGACGTGACGTTGGATTAACGGTGTAGAAAAGGGAAAAAGGAGTAATTAGAGTTGGCCGTTGCCTCGTCGAATTACGAATGTTGTGTTGTATTGGATCGCGGTGTATGCCGTAGCACATCATTGCGCATCACTCACCCACGGGCTTCTTATATTAAAATCACCATGTCCTCTCACTTTCCCACGGTCATTGCGGCTCTTTCAATTCTTCATCTACCGCGATAGATCTTCTCCTTCTTCTCTTTAGCACGAAGTATCGGTGTCAACGTTTTACTGGTTTATTTCTATCACCACCCTTTTTGCTGTCTTTCTGTTGGTGGCTATCAATCAACCACGAACCAACCAACGCCAAGTCCATGTTATTGCTTTTTTCTACGAATTGCATATCAAAGAAACATCGACAATTTCTGTGGCTTTCCCCTTCGCGTTATCCTTTCGGCATCAACATCGACGTTGCATTGTGGCTTGCTACTCTCTTCGGCACTCACTCGTCTCGCGTCCTACTTTACAAAGCGTCGCTTGATGAAGACACCAATTCGGTATTTGGCATCTTCTCCAACCGAGACATCGCGAGGATCTCCAATACAAGAAACAGGGCCACCAAGACAAGGTAATTCTCACCAACAAACGCCTTCACTTACACATACTAACTCTTGAGGAAGTCCCTATACCTAATATCGTGACATCGTGTCACGCATCGCTGAGGTATCACCAGCCAATTTTTCCGGGCAGACATGTGTCGAATGATGATCTTCAGAGGACATTGCACGCGTTGCGACCAGCCTCAGACTTGGGTTGATTTGACCCAAGAACTGTCCTGCCTCGATGCCAAGAACAACGGATGGTTCGGTGGATGTCGGCGAGGTATCCTCGTTGAAGAACATGACTTCAACCAAGAATGCTCCATATGTCATGAGGAAGATGAGGGCATTGGAGGCTTAGATGACAGCCATGTAATGCCCTACCAACAGACACCACAGACACAAAGCAGTCTTGGCAAAAGAGCAGCTGGGGACCGGGGAGGATCTAGCGATGGCTCAAAGAAACAGAGGACTTGAACAAAGTGAACGCTTATCGGCGTTGGATTTACTTTTGGGAACCATGCATAATAATGGGACGGATATTGGACGGACTTTTTACTGGAATATCTACGATCGACATTTACGTGATCTAAATGAGAAGAGAAGAAACAGAGGTAATGAATAATGAACAATGAGCTTCAGGATCTTCCAGGCAACTAAACTAAACGAATGTAATATACTTATCTATGGGCCCAGCTAAGTCTATCATATCTATACAGAAGATTGAATGTCTAATCTAAAATTCTTTCCCTTCCCAAGTCTCTTGAACAACCTTCCAGTATCTATCAGCATCAACTCTGACATGTGCAACATGAGCACCTCCTTTGAACTTTTCTGTTCTAACTACAGCGCCATTCTCCTTTGCTTGTTGAGCATGTGATTCAACATCCTCCCAGCCAACTGACAGATCCGCATCTCCGTAAAGATATGCCCGCATAGTCTCTCGGCTGATCCTCTCTGGCGTATTGAGAGCCGAGGCATAGGCAGAATGTGGTTCCACACCTAGCCATAGCTTGTAGTACACCCATGCAAAACCCAAAAACACCCAGACGAGGGGAGATAAAAATGGTGGAAACCCGGTCGAGAGGACATGATGGTCGCGTTTCCAGTGGAAGTATCCAGGGCATGAGTCCATCACGACAGCATGTCGAGGAATTGGTTTACCGCCTAGTGAAGTTTCCCACATCTCCCAAAGCGTGGCAGCAGAGCTGACACCTCCGTTGGAAAAGATATGGATAAGAAAGTTGGGCCCATCTTCTCCCTTGTTGTTAACGGACTGCAGAATTGGTAAAGCAGGCTCAAACAGGCGACGACGTAGGGCTGGTTGAATATATAGCTTGGTAGAAGCGCGGAAGAGGAGAATGGCAGATCTTGGATAGAGCTCGCGATACTCCAATATGTACTTTGCTATGTGAATATCCCGTGCTTCCGACCAAGAAAGAATAATAATGAGTGGAGGATCACCAGAAGCTGTATTCTTGGGAGTGGCTGATGTCGATTTATCGGGCCGAAAATAGGACACGGCTGGACTAAGAGCGTCCATGAAAGCCAAAGGTGACGCCGTGGAAGTTGCCATGATGAAGCCTTGATTGAGGTGATCTAAGTCTGGATGATAAACAGGCTTTGGCTTTGGCCCGACGAGGATATGTCCGTTTTATACAAAAAGGATGTTAGGACGTTTTACCTCCGGGTGACGCTCCGTAATAATCGGGTCATTTGAGAAACCGCGGCCCCGCTGGAACCGGAGCCGGACGGAGGAACAGAGTCACTAGACCGGAGGCACTCGGAGACTTTCTTACACATGGCACCAATCATAGGCTGAGACTCTTCAGAAAATAATGTATTATAGAGAGATGCCAAGACTTTTCTATGTCGAAACTAATCATGTCTCCAAACTTTCAACCGAGAGAACCTGCTCCTCGATCAAGTCAAAGAACTTCATCGCTTCATTCTCAGCCTTAATTTCATCAACCCTCTTCTTGAAGCTGTCATCTGCCAGAACACGCTCAACACCTGATCGCACCATATCAGGAGTAGGCCGGCCTGTTTTCAGGTTAACCGCAACACCACTCCATTCTCCGCGCATCGCAATCTCAGGTTTGTCTTCAGTCTCACCTGCAAGAACCAAAGGAACACCATTAGTTACTCCATGAAGAAAGCCACCATATCCAGCATTCATGACGAACACTGAAGCATGAGGTAGGAGAACGTCATAAGGGAGATAATCGATGACGCGGGTGTTGGAAGGAATAGTGACGTTGTCAGGTAGAAAAGCGCCCCTTTGACCAAGGATTGCTACGACGAGAAGATCATCGCGGTCAGAGAGGGCTTTGATAGTAGGAATGATAAGGTTGGTTGCGTCGCGAGCAATAGTTCCCTGAGTCACTGCAACGATACGCTGGTCCCCACGCTTCACATCATCCCACCACGATGGATAGGTAAAGTCTGTAGGAATAGGTTTGGGTGTTGCACAACCTGAGAACTTGACATTTGAGGGCACATCAGATCGAGAATACTCGAGACTGGGCGGACACATTTGAATTGAAAGGTCATGCATGAGCATCCAATGGTGGAAAGGAATCTGAGGCTCGAGAATCTCGGTGGCGCCAAGATCCTTAAGAACCTCTTCCTGATGGGCGATAACATCAGCAAAAGGTCCACCAACCATCATCTGGTTCATGAACTGATTCCTCGAGCGGCCAGATTCTGTTGAGTCAGGAGGAAGACCCGGACCAAAAGGTGCAGTGTCGATGCTGGTAGCCATGTATGGAATAGGATTCAAGTTGATCACCTTGGGTCGCCTCGTATATCCCCTGGGGAGAGGTGCACCGAGAGACATAGGGTTGGCACCCATGAAGCAAGTCTCTGGCATAACAACAACTTCTCTCTCTGGATCCTCAGCTCGGATATCCTCGAGAACTCCCTTGAGGATCCTCCAGCGTTCAGGAGTTTGTCCAGTGAAGATATGTCTGATATCATAAAGGAGTCGAGGAATGCCAGCGGGAATAGCCTCACGTTCTGCCATGAGCTTGGGGTTCACTAGAGGTGGGACGGTAACATGTTTGGCCCCGGCGTCTGTGATTGCTCTCTCGAATTGGTCGCCGGCGATGAAAGTGACCTCGAAGCCACGATGGACTAGATCTTCTGCGATTCGAATCAGGGGGTATGTGTGGCCGTCCACAGGAGTTGCACCAAAAACAAGATGGGGTTTCTTAGTGTTGGCTGGGCCAGTGATTGTTGTCTTCTCGATACCAGTAGCTATTTTAGTTACATTAGACAGATGGGATGCCATGATCGTGTAAGGTAGAAGGAGAGATGATATTCAAAGAGAAATTAAGGCTGGGTATACAAGAAGAGCTATGAAAGCAATACTGGTGGGACAGGACATTGAAAGAGGGCAGATGCCTTCCTTTTATTCCTGAGAGGTAATCATCATTCTTCATAGCATACACCTCTCAGCCTTTCAGAGGCTGAGAACCCTGCAGGTATGCTCAAGCTACTGGGACAAATGCAGGCCGTCAACACTGAAAAAACCAATAAAACACAATATCTTCCGACAACTTAAGCCTCATACCGTAAGGCTCCAGGATGACCATCCAAATCTTGATATTGCAGCAAAGCCCCATAGCTGACGTCTCGAGGGATGGTAACCTAGAGATACTCCTATATGCAAGTCTGCTTACTGTAAGACGATCTCACACCCACAATTGACAATCCAAGCAGCGTCCTAACGGTCCAAGCCTCCAGCCCTGCCGTTACTTGATTTCTGAGCCAATGAATCCCGGCACGTTACGGAGATGAACATGACAAGCGCCGCGCTATCGTGGTAGTGTAGCGGTGCATCAGCCCTATCTCGGCTGTGTAAGATGATGGCATCTGCATATTCTTCGTTGATTCGCCCACATATGTGCGATATACGAGTAGATGCTAGAAAGGTAGTGAGATTTTCGCTCGATTTTGGAAAGTGCTTGTAGTGAAAGGCTGCTGATAATAGGTTTGTATTTCCGGAGTTTGGAAGTGCATGTGGATTCAAACTACTGGAATCCAGTACAGTAGAAGGGCCAATCATGAACTAATTTATTTTACATAGACCAGGCAGAGTATGGAGCATGCTCGTTTAGAAATACGTAAAAGGTTAGATTCTGTAAGCGGGTAGTTTTGTCTACAAGACTAGGGACTTCAGTCAGTAATGGCTCATTTCGCTGCTGACATGATATTTGAGGTATCAGATCGATAATGCACAGTCTAGGCAGTAGCTTACTTTTTTCTTGTAGTGAAATTTAGGACCATTTTCACTGTTAAATGCTTATCGAATAGAGTACATGAGATTTGTAGATGACATATTGAGGTTGCTTAATATAGAATCAAGTTTCAGATAGGCAGCCTCGCAGTAAGCTTGCGAGAATTAGTCAGCGCATTGTCTTGTTTCTCGTTTAATCTAACCAGTCGGTAACTCAAATAATCTGTCATGACTATCTCTTGAAACTTGGAAACAAGACTGAGTTATGTAGCACCGGATCTGAGGTTCTTATTCATTGAGCCCCAATGTCTTGTTCTCTTCGGGAACCTGCAGGACATTCGTGTATCTCCGCATGGAAAAGAACACCTGAGAGCTATGTCAGCTTTGTAAGTCTACCGAGTAGCTCGTTTATGGGCTCTGTATATGATTAGACTTGGTGACGTTTCCCCCTGCGATCTGTGATTCGCGAGATCTGAGTGCAGGCAACGACACGAAACAACATGATATGCTCATACGAAGTTGCCCATTCATTGTATTATCTAATTGCCAAGTAGTTGTGTAGGTATAGAAGGCATGAAAGAATTTCAATCTCGGCCTGAAGAAAGGCATGGTATCATTGACTATAAGCCTTAGCATGTTGAGATGATCACGCCTTGAGCCCCAAAGCAATTTGAAAGGGGATATCTTCTTATCGGATGAGCCAAGTAGGAAAGGTATATATATCGTCTCGACACTGAATTAAATTAAGCTTCGTCATAATAGGTAGGAATATTGCCTTTTCAGCGAGTCTCCTATCGTTGTTGCACCTTCCACGCCATATAGCCGAGCCAGAGGAGGAAGGCACCACCACGGCACTGCCAAAGGAGCTACCTGCAACTTGAAAGGGTGATTTTTTATGCACAGGTAAACTCCTTTTCAAAATTTCGGAGGGTTTCAAAACATCACATCTTATCCTTTACATCGACAACCTCACCCGTTCCTAACATCCCGCGACAACCTTGTACCTAAGGTACTCATTGTCAAGATGAGAACGCTTCACCTTATCTTCATTCTCCTCGCCAGCACTATAGGCCCTGCTCTGGCGGCCGTGGCTAGCAATGAAGTTACCCAAGCACAGTGGGATATTTCAACTTCACTCAACGGCTTCTCCTTCGAAAGAGCCAAGGCCATCTCTGCCAAAACCATTGACCGCACTGGTGTTCGCATGTCACGACTCAAGAGCCTTAAGCACCAGCCTGACTCTCACCCGAGATCTGCTCTCTCCCATTCCACACGAACTCATCTCGCAGCATCTGGAAAGGGTACCGCTCCTCACCAGAACATTTCTGCTGTCGGGAGCTTCTCCACTGCGTATGCTATTCAGTGCACCTGGGACGACACCCCCGTTTGGCTCATCTTCGATACTGGAAGCTCTGATACTTGGGCCGCCAAGACTGGATTCACCTGTGAGGATGCATCCGGCAACGTGAGGAAAACCCAATCTCCATGCAGCTTCGGCCAACCTCATATCAAGAACTTCCTTCACGATATCTCCGAAGTCTACTTTCATCGCCGTTATGGTTCTGGAGAAGATGTATCAGGGCCTATGGGAGTCTCTGATATCGCTTGCGGTGGAATTTTGGTCCCCAAACAGCAAGTCGGCTTGGCCAGTAGAGCCTATTGGCGTGGCGACAACACCACTGTTGGCATTCTAGGCCTTGCCTATCCATCCCTAACAAGCGCCTACCTCGGTGACCCTAACGATACATCCGATGAGTCTGAATGGGACAATTACCCTTACTCCCCTTGGTTCACCACAGCTATCTCAAAAGGGGTGGTCGATCCTGTCTTCAGCGTCTCTATCGAAAGAAACACCAGTGATGGTGTCCTGGCCTGGGGCGGCCTTCCTCCTATGCCATGGGGACCCAGGTCGTTTGCAGCAACAGATCTCATCATTGTCAGTTAATCCGGCAGGGAGAGGGTCTCTTTAACGTTAGTGTTTCTAACAAGTTTATAGGCAAAGCTCGTCGAACGGGAAAAGGCTGGCTGGGAACCTTCTTTCTACACCATCATTCCGGATGGCTTACAATGGGGAAGCACAACAGACACTGCAAAATACCCTTACATCGTCGACACTGGGACCACAATGATGCATATTCCTCCTCGTTAGTTGACTTATCTTTGCACTCCTGGTATCTACTAACAACCCCCAAAGCACTAGCTGAAGCCATTGCCAAAGCTTTCCAGCCTCCAGCCACGTGGATGTTTGAGTGGGGTGCCTACTTTGTCGATTGCAATGCCACTCCTCTCCATTTTGCGGTCATCATCAAAGGGGTTCGGTTCTGGATCAACCCAGCTGATCTGATTTATCAGGATTTCACCGAACCGGTGACTGGAAAATGTGCAATTGCCATTTCGACGGGCGGATCTGGGCCATATATTTTGGGAGATTTGTTCCTGCAGAACGTTGTGGCCGTCTTTGATGTGGGTGGCGCAGAGATGCGTTTCTAC